CGTGGCATCTTCTCTTCCATCTCTGTTTCCTGTTCCTTCCCCTGGTTCTGGAAGCCCCTCTGCCTGATCCAGCCTTCCTTGGCATCCCATAGTGCTGCACACCCTGAGAAACCCTGGGTCAATGCTTATAGCCACTTGTTTCCACACTGTACACCTTCATAAAAAGCTATTGTTTGTTTTTTATCCTTCCCAACCCAACTCAATCCCTTGCATTGGGCTGTCATGCTTCATAGTTCCAGTCTTTCTTGGCTACCTGCCAGTCAGATGGGGAGCCTGGCTGCATACCCAGTACGATGTTATGTTCGTAGTACTCAGCGGTGAGCAAAAGAAGCTGGGGGACTCTACTGCAAGGGGAGCCTTTCCTTTCTTAAGTTTCTTTTGGTTGAGTATTTTGTTGTAGAAATGAGGAAAATAAGCAAAAGAGAAGCAGGCAGAAAGATGAGGTTATGTTGGTGGTGATGTGCACCAGGGAGAAAAGTGAAGGATGGGAGAGGTGTGCATCAATTAGGGAAAGTGTTCCACATTAAACCACCCATGAAGGTCAAGATTGACGTCTAAGAATCAAAGCAGCGAGAGGAACCAAAACACTCCAAAGGACAGATCCAAAGAAGGACCAAATGCACTCCAAGAATAGACCAAAAGAACTGCCAAAAACACCTCTTTGGCTGAGATGAGTGGGGTGGGTCCCACATGTTTTTCCACAAATTTGACCAGACTCAAAGACATTGGGATCACGGATAGGCTGTTTTCCCTGCCATTGTTCCCTAAACAAACAGTTCAGCAATAATTTACATGACACTTTAATCATACCTGGTGTCACAAACAAGTTAGAAATCTTTAATATATGAGAATGTGTGAGGATGTGTGTGTGTGGACTGTAAGACGTTGATGAGATCTGCGGACCTTGCTCTTCATTAGGATCCTGGGATCAATCGCCCTGCAGATCCCAGAGGATCCTGGGACCAAACCCTCTGCAGACTCAAAACTGGTACCACACACACTGTGTTTCCAAGTTCTGCTTCCCTGAAGACAGTGCAAGCCACATGCTGGTCCAGCTGGCCCTTTCCTCAAGGCTCTTTCAGTTATAACGCCACATTATGCTGCTCTGACGACCCCAAAGCCACCTTCTTCCAGAGCTCCGTCTTCTTCTGCCTCCTTACAACCTGTGCAGGTTTTAGCAGCAGGAGGCCAAGCTAGGTCCACCATGGAGGGCTTCCACCTCACCCTGGCCATTCAGGAAAATGATGACTGCCCATTACAGCGTGGAAGGAGTGGCAAACAAAAGGAGTAGGGTCCCGCCCACTGCTGGCTTGTTCTCTTAGCCTACCCCTCCCAATAAATTCTGACTGTCAGCCAAGCACAAACTCAGAGACAAAGGTGTGTTGAAGATGAAGGAGACTGGCTGCCCATGTGTCTGCACTTGGTGCACACTGCCGCCGTGAGCCCATGAGGGGTCTGTGTGGACCATTAAACAGATGAGAGAAAGGGATCAGAGATGAGACCACGGCAGAACTGGAGCTCAAATCCAAGTGTCCCTGTGCTGCTGTGTCCCCAAGCTCCTGAAAGGGCAGCAGTTACCTAGGTAACTTGTGAAGGAAGGCCACTCTCCACATCCATCATCTTCCTGGTGGTTACTAAGGTGACAGCTGGGAAATGCTATGCTATCTCAAATAACATAGAGGCAGAATTTTTATTATTTCTTCCAGAGGCAGTCCTTGGTTATCACCCCTCCAGTCTGGCTGTTCCCCTAAAGGTTGCATTGCCTGCCTCAGGCACAATGCCCCTGTCTGTGTGTAGTCGGCCATATTCTCCTTCACCTAAGGACATTCCTGCAGGGCCATTGTGCTGCCATGTTGCATGGTGGTGTGACTTTACTCACTCTTCTGCCACCTCCTTGGGGACTTCCACAAACAGCCTCAGGAGCAGCTGCACCAGGAAAGGCAAGATGGAGGAGGTCTTCCTCAGGGGAACTGCCACCCACTTCCAGACATAAGAGTGCATGAACAGCTATCACCTCACGCAGTCCCCACACCCTTCCCCTCTCTACTCCAGATGCATCAGAGAAAAGAAGTGTGTGGTGGGCTTGCAGGGTCAACAGTGTGGGAGCCAGCCAGCTAGCGCAGCCCAGGATCAGCCTATGGACAGACGCCATCCACTGTGCTATGTGCTGGCTCATTGGGCACACATTCCCAAAAGCAGCTTAGGGGCCTGCCCATCAGGCATTGTATTTTAGACTCCTACAGGCTTTGAATGGGACAGATAGCAAAGCCGGGTATTGAGAAAAGCTGGCACATGGGACTCACATTGTTTTGGGGGAAAAGTAGGCTTCCATGCTCGGACCTTCCAAGCAGTCCTCAGCCTGAAGGTCACCCGGCTGTGTGACTAAGCCAAGGCAAGTATGGGAAAGCTATAAGTCTCCGGGAAATGAAAATCTCTTTGTTGTCCAGCCTGGAAGGTCACACGCTGCCATTTGAGATTGCCTAGACAAGCAGAGTGTCCACCCCCACAAAGGTGACAGCATCAGGGACCTAAGTCAGCATCGCCAGCATCCACCAAGAATGCAGCATTGAGCAAAGGCGCAGCATCCGATCACAGACAAATGCCATTGTCATCACAATGGCCTACAATAAAGAGGTGCTTGTTTGAAAGGCCACCAACCAAGCTGGCCTGGAAGGACAAGTGGCCCCAGCAGAGTACCAGGCCCTTGACTTCACAGAGACAGTGACCGTTAGTGAGTAAGATGTAGCAGGTCTCCTTGTGAAAGACACTTGCGTTCTACTGTGGCTGTGCTTACTGACTTGACGGACAAGCACCTGTAGGCCAGGTTCTGCAAGACTCGTCACTGCATGTCCTTCGGTCAATCAATACACAGTCTTTTGGGGAGGGACAGACACAGAGAGACAGATACAGAGATCTGTTTGCAGACACATTATTGGATGCACACTGTTGCAGCTCAGTCGGCTAGCCTGAATGAGGCAGATCGGCACATCTATTTTGTCCCTAGCACATCATGGCAGCCTCGTGCTCAGAGACACTGGGTGGTACATCAACACTGTCCCAGGGCCATCAACAGCAAAATCATCAAATAAAGGACAAACTGCCTTAATAATGGCACCACACAGACCGTAACAGATATGTTTATCTACATTGTGAGCGAATCAAGGAGTCAGGGCATATGTTACTTTGTCCCATGACAGCTAGAATCTGAAGTGTCTGTGGCTAGAATTTTCCATCAGGCTGCACCTGAAAATGACCTTAAAGGTACCTTAAAGGTACTGGTTTATGCAGTGAAAATATATTTGAGCAAGTAGGTGCACTCACTTAGGACTGTGCCTCCCAGGCTTTGGGATGAAAGTGTAACTCCACTAGGGTCATCTGAACTCTCCATGATGCTCCTAATGCAGAGGAAGACCTTTCTGCCCCTCTGGAATCATGGGCTACTATAGCAACACAACAGCATCCCTGGCCACATGTTTGGAGGAAGTTAGGAAAGGGCAAACCTTTTGTTTTCAAGCCTGGATCAGCAATGCTGAAAATAAGACTACTTTGGATGGATCGATTAGTCAAGCCAACAGATGGCCTTTTTTTTTTTTTTTTTTTTTTTTTTTTTTTTTTTTTTTTTTTTTTTGCTCAAAAAGAGTTTTTATCGCCTAGAACCAAGACTTCTGCTGATCTTTGTGTCCTTGGCCTACCAAAGGCTCTTTATTTAGCAAGGAGCCTTACTCCATGAAATGGATGGAAACTTGAATCAAACCATACCACAGACTGAGCAGGTGTTCAGTAAAACCTACTGAGCAGGGGACACACATCTTAGTGTTCTGGGTCAGCCTGGAAGGCTGAGATGGTGTGCCCCCTCCCTAGAAAGGGGGAAATGGTTGGTAAACTTCTGCTCCCCAAAGCCAGACGACACAGAATTCAGACTCCATAGGCTCCTGGTGCTGTGAAACCTGCCGGTAAGTCAGCCAAGGTCCAGGGAGAAAAGTCTAGACTAGAGCAGCATACAGGCAGTGTCTCAGTCTCTGTGACATTTTGGTTCCAGGAAGGGTTTTGACTCTCTCTTGTGCACAACGCCTCACAAGCAGACTGCCTCTGCTAACTCTCAGCTGCTAACAGTCATATGTGGGAAAACAAACAACTCTGCAAGGAATGTCTTCCAACTGACTCGCCTTCTGGATGCTCTGTGGGTTGGTTACTCGCCTCATTGCTGTGACTAAACACCTGACAGGAAGAGTTCAAGGGGCAAAAGGCTTGTTTTGGCTTGCAGTTAAAAGGAACATAGTCCTTCATGGAAGAATGGAAAAGAGGGTGAGGTGGCCAGTCACTGCATCCACAGGCAGGAAGCAGAGTGAAACAGGAAGTGGAGCCAGGAAAATGCCCAACCTCAACAGCACAGGTCCTCCAGCAAGGCCCCACATTAAGACCAGCACCCCGCTGGAAACCTAGCATTCCAACAGAGATCCCCACATCCAAACCACTGTGTGAAGAGAGATGGTCTTTCCAGGGAGAACGCAATACTCAGCTCCCACATACACGAGCAGAGAAGGCCTCCTGAGCCTTCTCAGTGCCAAGTGAGCAAATAAATGGCAGGTGATAGAGATGGTTGAATGACTGCTGGTGCCCAGAGCCCCAGCCACCATCACAAAAGTCAAATCTGTACCACCTCAGGGTTTCTGCATTTGGTAAAAGCAAACAAACAAACCAACAAACAAACAAAACAGTGTGTTTTATATAGCACAAGACAGGGCTTTGCCTTTCAATACACTTCTCAATTTCTCTATGAAATAGCGCTGCAGACCTTTTTTTTTAGCCAGGGAGATAGTGTAGCCAAGTGCAAGATGGGAGCTGCCTCGGTGCAGACTACAAGAACAGGGAGAGGCTGGGGACTCCGCTCAGCTACAGCCTCCTGTGTAGTTTTCTGGGTCCCTAGATTCAGGGAGACTAGACGGATCCATCTGCAGATGGCACAGGTCAAGGGAAGCAAGCCTGAAAAGAGTTCTTACCTCTCCCAGTCCTGGGCCTAGGGTGACACTCTGGAAAATGCTGTCAAGGAGAGCGGAGGGTTTGGTTCATTGTTACTCATCAGTGACTGTCCCGTTGAGCTCTCTGGAAGCAACCTGGCCATGAAGCAGAGGTTCTACAGCAAAAATAGAGAAATCTGTCATAGAACTAAAAATCAAAACCACAGTAGATGCCACCATACCATTACAATAGCTGCACCAAAGATGGATGATGACAAGTGTTGGCAAGGATGTGACCAAGAGGAAGCACTTGTGCTATTGGTAGGAGTGAACTCAACCACTGTGGAAGAGCACAGAGGTGCCTGCTGTAATTTTTCAGCATATTTCCAGCATACTTAAGAGACAGCTGTTCAGCTGTACTCACTGAAGCATTATTCACTCATTCCAAGAAATGAAAACAAGTGTTTGTTGACAGATGAGAAAAAATGAAATGTGGAACTTGCACATACTAGATTGTCCACCAGTAATCCTCTCATCTGCACCATAACTGGTGGAAGTGAAGGACCTGATGCTAAACGCAAAACACCAGGCATGAAAATAAACCTCGTGTGCTCTTTTCCTGTGTGGACATTGTAAGAGTTGATCTCATGAAAGTAGAATGCTGCTCACCAGAGCCTAAGACAGAGGGGAGAGAGGGAGAACTCAGCCAGCGAGGACTAAGTTCATTTAGATGAGAAGTTTAGACTGGGCATGCATCAGTTCACAGGCTTGACTGTGGTATATAACAGCACATAGGACACTGCTGAACAGCTAGAACAGAGGACAGAGAGGCAACTACTAAAGGTTATGGAAGTGCTAATTATCTTGTTCTGATCCTTAGATGTATTTGTGCACCAAAGAGTAGCACTTAAGGACATAAAATTATTATAATAATGAAAGAAAATAATAGAAGCCGGACACTCTCATTGCCACCACCATAACTAGCACATTCATCACCACCATCTCCACGACCTCATCAACACTGGAAACAACAACAACTCCTCCTCCTCCTCCTCCTCCTCCTCCTCCTCCTCCTCCTCCTCCTCCTCCTCCACCACCACCACCACCACCACCTCTGTCCCCTCCACCTCCAGTACCACCTTCCTAAGGGCAGTGCCTTTTCCAGGTAACTGCCAATGTGCCTAAACGTAGGTGTCTCTTGCTCCTCTAGAATGTGTTCTTGGGTAGACAATGACGGAAATAGTCGATCATGCCCACACGGAAGACTACAGGACATTTCCACAGTGGAGAAGGATGTAGATCAAGCACATTTTGGAGGAAACCATCTGGAAGGGCCGTGTGCCAGGCCACTGGAGCTCACTCAGGCCTCACAAGCCCGGCAGCTCTTCCTGAGAAGCTGGTGTGCCACACAGGAACAGCTCCTCGCTGCAGCCTATTTTTGCACGGTGTCCTTGGGCCTGCACTCCCCTCTCAGTCTTGTGCATTCCTCAGTCTTTGCTCCATGCACTCCCATGTTTGCCTAACTCCAAGGCCTTCCTCCCTCCCCTCTTGGCTTTGTCTTAAGGGTTCCCAAGAGGTCAACTTCCCCTGCCCTCCCCCACCTCTTCAGTGGAAAGTAGGTACAACCCCACTGATAACACCCCATCCTGTGTTAGCATAGCTCCAGGGGCAAAGAGCAGAGGCTTAACCACCCAAACAACTCCCGGGTGAGCAAACTCTGCACTAAAGACAGTCAGGGGCCAGAGACCTTCCAGGCTCACAGTCACTCAGTGAGAAGATAAGACAGTGAGGGTCCCAGCCACTGCATGAGGCTCTTTGTATCTCACAGTTGGCCCCAGGAGGCCCCTTTATAGAGGGTCAGGGCTGTATAGAAGACTAGAAAAAAAAATGTCTCTCAGCCCCTAAAAGTAAACCACTCATGAACGTGCAGCTTTGAGAATTTACAGGGGGATTTACTTCCTTCTTATCTCCACAAAGAAAGGCAAGGCAAGGAGTGGGCAGGGAGATGTGGTGGGGACCACCGCTTCAGTGCTGGCTCTAGGAAGGAGAGAGTAGATGGCACCACCATGTTGAGAGCTACCTCCCACCAGGCACACTGAGCAGCAGGCAGTAAACAAGCAGCAGGGACCCTCACTCCTGCTGGCTACTGGGTGTCACCCTTTGACTCTGAGCTTCAGGTCCTCTGCTGTTCAGTGGAAATGGCAACATGGACAATCATGAGGCCTAAAATGAGACTACAAATATAGACAAAGCTCTTAGCCTGAAAGACGCTGCCAATAAATCTTCAATGCAGTCAGAGGCTCTCTAGCTTCAAGAACAAATCCCAACCTGTCATTAGGTAGTCTGAGACTAAAAACACTGGACTGCAAAGTATCCCAGGGTACAAGACTCCCCACTGAAATACACAGAGGTGGGCTGCTCCACCGGGCATGGGCATTTAAGCTTCCAAACTTCTATGTGGGGGGAAAAGATGACCTTATCTGGGCTCAAGGAAGGAGAAAGTTTATGGAGCCACCCTTCTAGGAGCTACCTCCCACCAGGCACACAGGTCAGAGGTCATGCAGTGAGACAAGCATTTTGTGACTGCCCCTCCTCGTTGAGCAAGAGCTTCCCCAGTGAGGAGGAGGTCATTCAGGTTGCTGTTGTGACCGATGCCGCACCCACTCCTCAGCTCCCAGGGGTCAGCAATGACACTCCGAGGAAAATCTGTGGTCTCCCACCCACAAGGGACTGTACCTCAGACCTCAAGGACCTGTGAGGGAGTACCACAGCCATGTTTGCTCTGTGTATATTCTAGACAAAGCAGAGATGGAACATTTGCTCCTGTGTGACAGCAAGCAACTGTCAGTAACTGAGATTAAGTTTCTCATACACACAGTCTCTAGCTTGCGACTTAGAAGTTCTTAGCTCAGTATAAGGTAAAGGTGTGTATTTGAAAGAAACAATTCTTCAAATTTTTAACTCTCACCTCTTCTCTCTCTCTCTCTCTCTCTCTCTCCCTTTCTGAGACAAGGTTTCTCGGTGTAGCCTTGGCTGTTCTGGAACTCACTCTGTACACCAGGCTGGCCTTGAACTCACAGTGATCCACCTGCCTCTGCCTCCCTGAGTGCGGGGATTAAAGAAGTGCATCACTACACCCGGCTCCCCTTCCTCTTTCTCGGGAGCAGCTGCCATGGATCTTGGCCAATCCTGGGGTCACCAGGGAAACTAGAGTGACAAGTCTTCACAGCCATGCTGTGCTGTGGGCTTACTTTGTATTCCAGCTTGCAGCAGGTTTAGCAGCATGCTGACCTATGATAAACCAAAGAATATCTGTATTGTAAAATACGTCCTTAAAAGCAAAACCAAGATGCTCTCTCTCAGCCGTCTCCAGTAGCCAGCTTCCTCTGCTACAGCTAAGTTAACTGGACAACAAATTTCACTTTAAAAGGTAAAAAATCAAGGGTTTATTGTTCTCCGTGGGTTGATACTGGAATAGAAAGAGAGCTTTATAAGGTGAAAGAGTATTAATGGGTGAGATGGACAGGAGTCGAGTGCTTTAGCCACTGCCACCACACCCTGCATGCACTCAGGAAGGAGAAAAAGAAACATGGAGATGCCCCAGACCATGCCTGGGTGGGCACTTTGCATGTATCAGACATTCAGTGTCATGTGTCTCCGTGCTTCTTACAAGGGGAAAAGAGCATAGACTCTCTGCCTCTTGGAGCTAGTAGAGAAAGGGACTCCTTGCTTGTGGCCCTGTTGGTGTAGACCAGGACTTTTCCTTTGCAATGTGGCCAGTGGATGATAGGACTCCGGGCTTCTCCCAAGGCTGGTGGAACCGTAAACTGTTCTGGCTGGCACTGAAAGATTACTGCTTCTTCGGAACTTAAGTCTGCAGTTACCAAAAAACCCTCCATTCCATTCCTAGGTCTATACACGAGACAAATGAAGCTTACCTTCACACACACACACACACACACACAAAGTGTACATGAAAGTTCATAGTTGCATTATGCGTAAAAGCCAATCTTCCCTGATAAATAGGTAAGTTAACACGGGGCGTTCATAGACTGACATGTTCTCTGCTGTCTTCATCATTCTTCTTGCGACTGACAGAAACATCTAAAGGGAGGATTTGTTTCATGCTTTCATGGCTTCAGGGGATTTCTGTCCATAGTGGCAGAGAAAACATGGTGGTGGGAGAGGGTCAGGCTGGGGCTTACCACACCAGTCTTCACATCTTGGTGGATATGAAGCTGAGTGGAGCCACTCCCCACATAGTGACCCACCTTCACCACATGCTCCCCCAGCCCCCATGGCATCACCAGCTGGAGGCCAGGTGTTTAAACACATGAACCCATCTCCGAAGGACGTCTTCGATCTAGACCATCACACACAGGAAGGAATGAAAGACTGAAGCACGCTACGAGCTGGAGGAACTGTGAAAACACCACACTGAGTGAAAGGAGCCTGGTGCAGCTGGCTGCATCCAGTGTATCTCCACCTGAACACTCGAGGCATTCCTAACAGAGGAGCCTGTGAAGGCAGAAGTCAGATTCGAAATTAGATTCCCTGGCACGGGGGAAGGTAGAGGAGACTAGTGCCTGTGGGGTTTCTTTAGAGGTGATAGAAATCTGTAAGTAGTGGTGATGATGGCCCATCCCTCTGTAGATCACACAAAAAGCCCATTGAATTATGTACTGGAAAATGTTAAGTGAGCTTATCTCCATTGAAAAACTTAGAGAAATTAAGCCAAGAGTTGGCCAGATGGCTCGGTCTGTGAAGTACCTGTCATACAAGCTCAAGGACTAGAGTTTGACCCCAGAAGCCATGAGAAAGAGCCTGGTGTGGTGGCACACACTTGTAATCCCAGCACTGGAGAGGCAGACGAGGGATCCCTAGGCTGGACACCATCCTAGCCTAACTGGTGAGCTCCAGGCCAAGGAGAGACTCTCTCCTATGAAATACAGTGAATGGCCCCTGGAACAACACCTGCAACTGACACCCTCCCCCCAAACACACACACAAGCATGCGCTCCCGCTTAGGAAGGTGCACCCACACACATTAATTATTACTTAATTAACTGTTAAGCAATAATTGATTGATATAAATGAATAAGGACCACAGGAATTTCATGTCAGAGCACAGCCATCAATGGGTGCTTCTTCTAGTGACCTGGCTCTAAAGACCAAA